ATATATATATATATATATATATATATACACACACACACACACACACATATATAAGCAGTAGGAATGGAAATTCTGCCATAGATATTTTATGTTTTTATATATATATATATAAATAAATATATGTATATATATATGTGTGTGTGTGTGTGTATGTATGAACACAGTAGAAATGGAAATTCTGCCATAGATATTTTACTCAATTCTTTACTTTCAGTAATAATCTGAAACTTAAAACAGTGATCCATCATTGAAAGTAAGCAGGACCTGTCAATAGTCTTAATTCTCTCAAGATATTAATATTAATGGATCAATAGAGGAAAACAACTAAATTCAGTCCTTTCCACTATGAAACAGATGCGAGATGACTGAGACCTCCAAACCCTAAGCCTCCTAACAACCTAAATTGAGAGTCAAGACTTTAAAAAATATTTTTTTTAATTAAATTTATTTCTTGCAGTGCTGGGCAATTGTTCTTTCACTAAGCTACATCCCTAGCCCAGAGTTGTTTCAAAGGAGTATTTATAGTCACTAGAACTAGGCCCACAGTTCCATGTGATTCTCTACCTTCAAGAGCTGAATGCGTAGATTTAATAAAATGAAACTTGTCTCCAGCAGAGTGATTGTGTTAGCAGTAGATAACATTGTTAGTCCAGAGAGTCAATGAACAAAACATAGCACCGTAATTTCCAAATATAACTCTACAAGAATACATTTTGTTGTAGATAATGCAAAACATGGAGTGATTTTTCAGGTTTTCTAACTACTCTGACTAAAGCCTGAAGTAATAGACTGCCTCTATTCGCTACACTGGCAGGCCCAGGGCCCGAATGGGCAGAACTTGTTCCTCTCTCCTAGCCTGGGGATGTTAAGGGAGTGCCAAAGAACTGCTATTGAGATTTTTGTCATCAAGAAAATTGGGAGATTGTCTATGGAACCCATGTCTGTACTTACATTATTATATAACAGATAAAAAGAACAATCAGGTTTAGTTAAACGAAGACAGTGCACATCAAATATTTGAAAATCCAGAGGCTGAGCTAGGACTTAATTAAGCATTCTATGGATCTGAAACAGTTTAAAATTATTATAAAATATTTTAATAAATAAGCAGGGCTCTAGAAAAAAATGGGATTTTGCAGGCATCCAGTCTGGAATGCATTGAAGAGTCTGCCCTTCCCCCACCTCAGCTAGATCTTTCAATTCCAATTTGCTAATTTGGGAATAGAGCAAAGAATTTGGAGGGAGACAAGGAACTGTCTGTCTCTTTAAGAAGAAATTACAAACACAAGGAAGCGAATGTACTGTAGGAGACTTTAAGAGGTTAAACAGTGACAAATGCCTGGCTGTCATTGGAGGTGGTGTGAGGAGTAAGACAGGCCATTGTCCACTGGTGGGAACCAAGCTGCGAATCCGAATTCATGGAAACTGGTCTCCAGAGTGGGTAGACCCTCGGTATTCTTGGTTGAGAAATCGCCGATATTTCACCCATTTTAGAGTGCACCTCAGTCCCAGTTAGACTTGCATCCCTTGCTTATTACTTGATACCATTAAGTAGACATCATACTTACTTTGCATATAACGTATTGGATTTTTCTTATTAAAAATCTCCTTTATTAAAAAGGATGTTTCACCGTTTGCTAGGCTTAGTTATATACAGATGTTTGTAAGATACATTCATATTCAGACACATATATACACACACATTTCTGGGGATGAAATAAAATAGATTTTTCACCGTTTGCTATGGGAGGAAAACCCATGTGTATATGTGTATGGAAGAACACAGGTATTGCTGGGATATCCTAGTTGAGTGAAGCGGGTGCCCATGAACCAGATGTGGTGTTTCCGAACTGAAACGCGACGTAAAGGGCTGATTATGTGAAACACAACTGCAATTTGCTTTCCCACAGACGTTCGCGGTGGTTAATGGAGGCTAGGGAGGGAGGGAGGGAGGGAAGGCTAAGAATGATGTTTTCAAGCGCTCCAGCCAGGGCGGTATAAACACCCAAGGCATCCTCCAGCCTCACGCACGAGGGGACACGGAGTGGGGTGTGGGGTGGCAGAGGATGGGCCAGAGGAGCTCGGTACACTCCCCACCCAGCCTGATTTCCTCCGGTGCCATCGCCTGGACCGTTCCAGCTTCCTATGGCCAAGGCTGACTTGATTGATTTAAAGCAAAACAGACATAGAAAGAAAGGAAGGAAGGGGATTGGGGTGGGGGGGGGGGGAGAAAAAAGTGCCGTAAGGAACAAGAGGTCCAATCTTAGGAGTTATGTCCTCCATTGCGCAGTGCACCCTCCCCCCAGCACCCGATTGGATCACAGGTCACAAGAGGAGGTGGCACACTCCTTTTTGAGCTTAGAGGTGGCTCTGAAAAGAGCCTTTGGGTTCAGGGCGCCAGGGACGCGCCTCACTTGGAGCTGGTGTACTTGGTGACGGCCTTGGTGCCCTCCGACACAGCGTGCTTGGCCAGCTCCCCGGGCAGCAGCAGGCGCACGGCCGTCTGCACCTCGCGGGACGTGATGGTCGAGCGCTTGTTGTAGTGCGCTAGGCGGGAGGCCTCGCTGGCGATGCGCTCAAAGATGTCGTTGACGAACGAGTTCATGATGCCCATGGCCTTGGACGAGATTCCCGTGTCGGGGTGCACCTGCTTGAGCACTTTGTACACGTAGATGGAGTAGCTCTCCTTGCGGCCGCGCTTGCGCTTCTTGCCGTCCTTCTTCTGTGCCTTCGTAATGGCTTTCTTGGAGCCCTTCTTGGGGGCCGGAGCCGAGCGAGAAGGCTCCGGCATGACGAGGTGGCGACAGAACGGACTGGGATGGTAATGTAAGGAGAGCAGGGCTATTTGTCATCTTTATATTCAAATGAAGGCTCCAAATCTCTAGCATCTGATTGGATAGCCTGCAGCCGCGGCCGCGGCGACGAAGACTTTATGTAAATGAGAGATGCCGATTCTTCTTTCCTATTGGACCATAGTTCAACCAATCCAAAAGCGCATCGGCCGCGCGCCTGCGCTCAGGTTGTGTGTCTTTGTTCAAACCCTTTGTTTTAAACCCAGAAGAGATCTTGGGGTACTCTGCGTATCTGGGCTTGGCTAAAAGGAAAATGACAACCTCGGGTCTGTTTTCTCTGCTATGAAGCAAATACGCGGGCAACAGCTAGAGAGAGAAAGCTTGATGCTTTTCCAGCAAGACGGAGGAAATGGCAGCTCCCACTGCAGTAACTGTTTATTTTCCTCATTCTCGCAGCCCTCTAAAGACCAAAGAGATGCACTTCTTTTAGAATTCAAGAGCGAGGCGGGGGGGGGGGGGGGGGGGATCAAGAGCAAATCCAAACGTTTCTTTGGGAAATATTGAGAATGCTCTTAGGAACTTCCATCGGAAGTGTGTAGCCAGACAGTTTTAACCGTGGAGAAGAATAAAACGTCAGGTTTTCATATTGTTTTGTTATTATTGTCCACGAAAATTCTGAAGTGTCAACCAGATTGCTATATGCTTGAGACGTGGGATTTCACCAGTGTCCTAACATCTCCAGGAGCAGGCACGATTACTGTTGATTACTGTTACATTGTAACAGGCTTAGGGCACCCATCCCGGGTGCCTCCCCTGCTACAGTGCCTTCCAGTAGAGAAACAAGGTGTTACACATTCCCATTTCTCACTTATTTCAGCATCTTCTGGACAACTGGCTAGAAAACATAATCTTACCCCCCCCCCCCCAAATGGAGTGAGTCAGATCCCATTTTACAAAGATCCTTGCACGCGTTATATACAGCGAGAAGTCCTGCGCTGAAGCCATTTAGCTGCTCTACCTCGGGCATTTAGCTGCTCTACCTTCTTCGCACCTCCACTTCTTCATCTTTAAAATGAGGTATCAGTGGGCTTGCTGTGAGTTAATGTGCCGGAAGCAGTGTGTTTAATTCTTCTTTCCTTCTCAGAAGCCAGCCAGCCTGCAGCAGCTTGGGCCGCCCCTCCAAGCTCCTCTTCCGGCTCTAGTACATTCACGCATAGCTTGAGCCTTTCTCTTTCCCGCTGCAACACCGACTCAGCTGGGATCATCAGGGCAAAGGTGTGCCTATCACCTCCTCATCTCCAGGTAGAACACAGCGTGGCACCTGACAGATGCCAGTCAGAGCATGGGAAATGAACAATCCTGCTAGCCTGGCAGCGCCCTCTACCGCAGGTTGTTCTTTTTGCTGAGGTCCCCAGGGGCATCCTGAGATCTTCGCCTTCCCGAGCTGCTGTGCCTATTCTCAGCATATTGTTTCCTCTTAAAAACAAACAAACAAACAAAACCCCCCAAGAATTTAATATATAATAAAGATAGCATCACAACTCAGCGGAGAAAAAAATGGCCCAATGGTGTCAGAAAATGTATTAACTACTTGGGGGAAAATTAATTGTTCTCAGCTAGAGGAAAGGCTTTCAAAGTATTTTTAAAATTATTTTAAATTTTTAAAATATGACCTTCCACACACAAAACTGGGGGTAAAATTATTTGCAATAGGAGACAAACAAAATATTAATATTCTTAATATAATAAAAACATTAGTAAAGAAAAAAAAACATTTTACAGAATAGTAAACTAGACTATGAAAAGACAACATGAAAAACATTAACTTCACTAATATCAAAGGGATGCATATTAAAAATGATAGCTGAGTGCAAAGGGGGACTCCTGAAATACCAGTGGCTCAGGAGGCTGAGACAGGAGGATCACAAGTTCAAGGCCAACCTCAGCAACTTATCCAGGCCCTAAGCAACTTATTGAACCCAGGGGTGCTTAACCACTGGGCCACATACCAGTGTTTAAGCACCCCTGGGTTCAATCCCTGTTACCAAACAACAACAACAACAACAAAATGAGATATCACTTTTCACCTATTAAAATGATGAAAATAAAATATACACTATGCAGTGCAGGCATACACTTTCTTTCATACATTGCTTAAAAGAAAAAACAAGATGGCAATCTATTCCAATATGTGTCTACATTATATACTTCCTTCCAGAAATTCCACTGTCAAGCATCAGTCTCTTAAGGAAATAAACATGGCTGGGGGGGATGGGGTTGTAGCTCAGTGGTAGAATGCTTGCCTCACATGCGTGAGGCCCTGGGTTTGATCTTCAGCACCACATAAGAATAAATAAATAAAAATAAAGATATTAAAAAAATAAAATAAACAAGGCTGAAACAGAGCTTGGCAGGAAGCTCCATCAACAGCATCCATAATAAGAAAAAAATAGAAACAACCTTGAATCACAGCCCACTTTAACAATGAATGTCATGAATTTACTGAACATTTTAAAGACTATTTAATGATGAGGTAATAATACTCATTAACTGAAACACAGCAGTAAGGAAGCCTGCATTGCATGCTTCTCCCAAGGACTACCACAATGTAAGTTAGAGGATGTAACTGAAAGGGGCCCTTCCAGCTTCCACAAGGCCCCTTTCTGCTCCAAGCCCCTGCTCCAGGCCTCCAGCTGAGGCCTTTCTCAGGACTCCTACTCCCTCCCCTGCCTTCCTTTGTTACTGGACTCCAGTGCAAACACTGGTCTGCTCAGCAGCACAAAGACAGGCACACTTGCATTACCTTAAAAGACAGCTTTCCCACAGTACCTATCAGCTGGTTTTGCTCCCCCAACACCTCTCCTGGGAAATGAGCTGTTTCTCTAACCCCTGCCTCCATTCCTCAAAGCTTCCATTATTTCCTGCATATGATAGGCACTCAAATGATCCAGTAGTGTACATCTAAGTCTGATAAGGGAAATCAAAATACTGGTTCAGAACTAGACAGGTTACTGTGTGCTTTCATTCCCTTCACATTTTCCTCCATCTTTTCTAAACTCACATCATGCATGCTTTTATAATAAAAAGAGAATAAATAACCAGAACCATATTCTTGTTTCTGTTTTAACTGGCTCCTCAGTCAAGATTAGAGATGTGCATGCTTGCCTTGGGATCATAAATGAAACTCAGTTGTATGATTTCCATATATTTTGGAAAATGTTTAGGACCTGTGGTAGATTTGGTGGTATTCTTCCTCCTCACCAGTGATTCTACCTGTGACTTTTCAGGGCTTGTCAGTAGACCTGCCAGATGTTCTCAGGTCTACCAGGGCTGGTCCAGTTCTGTGATGTAATCCATCCAAAGCTCAGAATCTACAGGTTCAAACTCTCAAAGTGCTCCCCAAATAGCCTCCTAAGTTCACCACCTTGCCTCAGTATGGCCCCATATACCGGGGGGACTGGGTTGCTAGGACTGAAATTCATAACTATTAGCCTGACTTCCCACACCCGAAAACAAGCTTGTACTTGGAGATATGACCATTAAAAAGGAAATAAAAAGCACCTTTAACCTCATAGTACCGGGGTCCTTTCAAGAATATATTAGGACACACATGCCACACACACGCGCACACACACACACACACACACACACAGCAAGACTATAGGACTCAGGAGGAGGACACTCATTTGTAGCAGGAGGCATCAGGAAGAACCACCTTCTTACAAACACCATGATTTTGAACTACCAGAATTACGAGAAAATAAATTCTAGCTCTTTAATGCATTCTGGGTCCTAGTATTTTCTTGGATAACAATTAGACATGTTATAAGTTATAGAGAAAAAGAAAACAAAAAGAAGTCAGACAGTAATAAATGGCATCTAAAAGACTGAAAAAGTACCAAGCAGTACACTTTAAGCTACTGATTTTCAGAGAATCAGCACTTCATTGAGGACATTGTCAACCCAAATCCAGAATCCTGTCAAAACTAAACCTATGGGCCTTGTCAGTTATTCCCCTCAGGGTCCTGTCAGTCCTCCACTTAGGGTCCTGTCAGTCTTCCAATTAGGGTCCTGTCACTTCTCCCCTCAGGGTCCTGTCAGTCCTCCCCTCAGGGTCCCCTCAAGTCCTCCCCTCAGGGTCCTGTCACTCTTCCCCTCAGGGTCCTGACCTTCCTTCCCCTCAGGGTTCTGTCAGTCCTCCCCTCAGGGTCCTGTCAGTCCTCCCCTCAGGGTCTTTGACCTTCCTTCCCCTCAGAGTCCTGTCAGTGCTTTATAAGGGTCGTTAATTCTTCTGGTTAAGGCATTGTGATTTCTTCACTTTTGTACTTTTTGTGGAAATTCCAAGTAGTTCTAGTCAATCCTTTAATTATGTCTTTTTGATTTCTTTGGGTTTGGAAACCCCAGAGGTATATTTTGGATTTTTTGTTTCTTGGTTTATGGAAAGGGTATTTTTTTTTTTTTTTTTTGCTTCTGAAATATTTTGAAAATTGGTGTTTTTATTAAAATGCCAAAATTTGGTAATTGGTTTTAATGTAGTTTTTTAACGTCAAAAGTTTGAAAGTATGTCAGGAATTTTCATTATATCTGGTGTTAAAGTCAACTCATCATTTATCTTTTTTTAGTTAGCCATTTATTTTGAAAAATTCATTTCTCTCCCTTTTCAATGTGACATTTGGGATTGGGGCACTTTCTCTTACTTGTTGGCAGTGATTTTGGGACAGCCTGAGCTCCAGAGTGTCTGGATGTGGATAATGCCTGTGGATGGCCTGTGCGGCCTCCTAGACCTGGCAGACTCTTTAGCTCTCCTCATGTCCCTCCCAACCTTTCCTCTGCCCTTCATTCCTGCTAGGGTTTAAATCCGGTCTGTCCCCACTGAAGTGCAGGTTGAAATCACCATTAGCAAATAGTAGAAGCTGGGTCCTTTGAGAAGGATTAGGGCTCTGATCTCTTGATTGGATTTGTCTGTCCTTCTTTAATAGATTAGTGATTGCTATGGTTTAGACATGAGGGGTCCACCCAAACTTGTGTGTTAGACAATGCAATAATTTTCAGAGGTGAAATGATTTGATTATGAAAGTCGTAAACTATCAGCGTATTAATCCACTGAGGTAGATTAATTGAACAGCACTTGTAGGCAGGTGAGATGTGGCTGAAGGAGGTGGGTCACTTGGAGTGTGACTTTGGGATTTTTATTTTTTCCCTGGTTAACAGAGCTCTCTGCTTCCTGATTGCCATGTTCTGAGCTGCCTTCATCCTCCATACCCTTCCACCCCGATGTTCTGCCTCACATTGGGCCCAGAGCAGTGGAACCAGCTGTCTATGGATTAAGACCTCTGAAACTATGAGCCCAAATAAAGGTTTCCTCCTCTATGTTGTTCTTGTAGGGTCTTTTGGTGAAAGTGATGAAAAAGCTAACTAAAACAGATGACTAATGAGTCATCTTAGGAGTGAGTCTTCAATAAAATCCACTTTGGTGGGGTTTCTCCTGTTCTCTGTATATGATAATCCTCTGTTGCCCTGGGATTCTGTCAGTAAGTGCATCACCAGATGCAGTCTCTTGACCTTGGACCAGAACCATGAGCTCAAATGAACCTTTGTTATTTCTTTATAACTCTCCAGACTATGGTATTGTTTCAACAGCAATGAAGCCAGATTTAAAATTAGGTAGTCAGTGTAGTTAGGTAAATCGGGTCTAATATCATATCGAGTGAAATCTAAAATGGAGGCCGTGCTGATAATGATTCTGGAAACGCAGGACAACTCATGGAATGTTAATGAAAGGCCCTAGGTCAAAGTCCACCCCAAAGAAATGTTAATGGAACCCAGGAAACAGCCCCCAACAGATTTGGAGATAGCCCATCCCAAAGAAGTGATAATGAAGTCCTTCCTGCCCAGATTACTTGTTTGGCCCACCTGTGTCCCAACCCTTCCCCCTTACATTCCATCAGCAAAACTATAAAAAGGGGAACACATTCGCCCTTCAACAGATTCCACCTCTTGGGTCCCCTTCTTCCTCTGGGAGAAGTCTTTTCTGCTGTCCTTTAATAAACTTCTAATTTCTACTCTGACTTTGCCTCGGCGTGCTTCTCTGGTGTTATTCTTCAACATTGGGGAAGCAAGGACTCGTCACCGGTCAATAGCGGTAACAGCAACAGAAAACAGTTTACTGTTGTAGGTCTGCATAGTCGAGATATGCCCAGCATCCACCCTTTGTCTGTTGTTGCTAGTCCCCACCCCAGATGGGAGGTCTGGCACTGAGTTCTCAAGCTCTTAATGTGGTCACAGGAGATGACTGCTATGAACGGCACAACACCTACCTTTTTTTTGGGCCAGACATTTAGAAAATAGGAGCTCTTATTTGCTAGGCTGGGGTGACTGTAAATGGAAGTCCATATAGCCAGTGTCTATGGGGAGACAACCACCTGGGGAGGAGATTGGAAGGAGGAGTGCTGAGAGCCATAGCCAAGTAGGAATGATGCATGGCAATTTCCTTGTCAGCCTACCCAATGTTGCTTAGAGGGAGGACTCTCCATTGTGGAAATGGGCTTCCTTGGACCCAGGTCATTTGCAGTAACATTGCATGAATGTTTGAAAAAGGTGACCCTGCTCAAGGACCAGGGCGGATCGGGGTTTAGGGCGGTTCCAGGTTTAGGGTGTGGATCCTGCTGAGAATAGGGCGGTTCCAGGTTTAAGGTGGATCCTGCTGGGAATAGGGCATATCCTGCTGCCTCGGACGCCCGCCCGCTCCTTGAGTTCCCTTTGAGTTCTCGCGGGATTCAGAGAGTATTTGGTATGCGGAGCCTGGTGGAGTGTGTGGAATTTTCCCAGAACGTGCGTGTAGAGTGCCGGTGACAGTTCGAGAATAAAGAGTTGCTGTTTGAATCTACAAGGCTGTGAGTGGCTCGTGATTTTGTGCCCAGCCAGGCTGCGGCAGAGGAGGAGGTGCATGTCCCAGTGTGTGGGGGTATTACCGGGCCCCCACAGCTCCCTCCACCTGAAGGTCTTGGGTTGTGATGGTCTTTCAGGAGTCTAACCCTTCCTTTTTTCCATGTGCTGTTGTTTCCAGTGTGCTCCTGTCACCTGCATCCAGTAGTCCTGATGCATCAACTTGAAGCTTAAATTTGATTCCCTAGAAATGTTATTTGGGCCACTTTGTTCAGATATGACAGAGATGTGTCTGGAAGTGGATTGAATCAACCCATTTTTGTGGCATCCTGGATTTTTAAACCATGGGAAAACCTGAATAAACTTTCTAGCTTCACTTGTTTGTAGTTTCTTGCTTTTAGTTGGCTTTAAAAATCACTAATTCTAGCTGGGCACTGTGGCGCATACCTGTAATCCCAACAGCTTGGGAGGCTGAGGTAGGAGGATCGCAAGTTGAAGCCAGCCTCAGCAACTTAGTGAGGCTGTAAGTAACTTCATGAGTCTCAATTTAATACATGAAAAAGACTGGGGATGTGGTTCGGTGCCCCTGGGTTTAATCTCCAGTGCCAAATAAAAGCAAAACCCCTCCTAAATCTGGTGGTCACACAGCTGGGCAATACGCTGTTAGTTCCCACCGACTGCTGTGGATGGTACCGCTGGCCTGTGGGTCATGACAGTGAGGGTTGCCGAGGTTACTCTACACCCATGGGAAACTTTTGACATCAGGAAGCTGGAATCTCCACCTTGTGTTACACTAGCACGGCTGTTTCTGAACACATGTCCCATGAACTACCATAAAGATTGACTACATATGTGCAGACCAATGACCTTGTCTCCACTCATCTTTCCCCACACCTTAGACCACCCTACTTCCCTATCCTGTTTATATCCTCAAGTCCTATCCTAAGGAAGGTTGATTGGAAACTTGATGTCCTGTCTTCATACTTGGCTGTCTCATAAATGCCTCACAACCTGCCATTCCAGTGATCGGCACACTCTGTGGCAGGCAAAATGGGCCTGGTGCAGGGTGGTTTTTGTTTGTTTGTTTATTTGTTCGTTTTAATTTTTTTGGTGTTGAGGCTCAAACCCAGGGCCTTGTGCATGTTAGGCAAGTGCTCTATCACTGAGCTACACTCTCAGCCCTTGGTAACAATTTGAGAACTATGCTGGATCTGGCCATGGTGGTCCATGTAACTCAGGCAAGCTTAGGAGTGCCTAAATGCAAATCAAATTAAGAAACCAGAAAGAAATTTCAAATTTTATGTATGTGTGTAGAGATTGTCAGTATCTGCAGTATCTGCTGGGCACTGTGGTACACACCTGCAGCGGATGGTTCCAGGGCCTTTAAGGATACCCAAACCCCAGGACACTCAAGTCTTCATGTAAGAGCAAATATTTTCAGGTAATTTGTATTCTTTTATATACTTTAAATTTCCAGATGATTTGTAATATCCATTACAATGTAAATGCTACCTAAATAGTTGCTGTACTGTATCCTTTAACTGTAAGAACAAAATGTGTACATGTTCACACTCAATTTTTAAAAAAACAGTCTTCATCTGTGGTTGATCAATTTCACAGGGAAGTTGATCAATTTCACCCCTGAGAAGAAGGATGAAACCCTGCATACTGAGGGCATGAACATATGGCTGTGCCCACTGTCCTTGCTCCCAACACTCTCCCACCACCCACTGGCAACCACTCTGTGCACAGAGGACCCATGGAGATGGGTCCAGTACCTCCAGGGATCCCAAAGCCCTCAGATCTCAAGTCCCTTATATAAAATGGCATAGTATTACATAAAATTGCACATGACCTACACAATCCCCAGTGGACTTTGAATCATCCCTAAATGACTCTTAACATCTAATTCTATGTAAATGTTATTAAATAGTTGTCTTGCTGCATTGTTTAGGGAATAATGAAAAGAAAAAGTCTGTACATGCTCACTACAGAGGTAGCTATTGTAGGGTAACTACATGGTACATGTTAACAAGGTTACATTAAAAAAATAATCTCAATCTGCAGATTCAGAGCTTCCTTCATGGTTGTGGAGAACAACCATGACATGCTTTTCGGGTGAATTCTTGGGAAATGTGTGCTGTTTCGTGTGCACGTTGCCCGTTTTCCACTTGCAGGAGTGCCACATCCTGTCATTTGCCTCTGGCTTTCTTCACTCTGTACTGTCCAGTCTCCACAGGTGTATCTGTCACTGTAGTGCACCGTCTTCTGTGGAATGTGGCCCCCTGCGTGGTGTGCAGACCTTCCACTAGGGCTACCCTCTACATTAGAAAATGCACTCCACAAACACATCACTCGACTAAGGTGTGGCTTCATGACTTTCTGTAGTTAGAACTTACTTCTAATAGTCTATTTTCTGTTGCCTAAAAACCCAAACCAAACCAAACCAACCAAACAAACAAAAAACACTTCAGGGGCTGAGGTTGTGGCTCAGTAGTAGAGCACTTGCCTAGCACATGTGAGGCACTGGGTTTGAACCTCAGCACCACATAAAAATAAACAAATAAAATAAAGGCATTGTGTCCATCTACAACTCAAAACAAAACTCTTCAGCTGGGCATGGTGGATCATAAATTAGAGACCAGTCTCAGAAACTTAGCAAGACCCTGTCTCAAAAAAAAAAAAAAAAAAAAAAAAGACAGGGGAGGGGGATGTAACTCAGTTGCAAAGTGCTCCTGGGTTCAGTCCCCAGCAGAAAAAAAAAGACTTTATCACATTATGAGATTTTTTTTATAGTTTTCAATGAAACCCCCAAACATTTTACATGAATCAATTTAAGTTATTATCTTGGGAAGAAAGATGCTCAGCATCCAGCACAATTTTGTGTGAGAGTCTGACTGCATTATGTCCTCAACTCATCAATCACATGGCTCCCTGAAGCAGTATCTGCAAAATCAGATACTTTTTTGGTGGGGTCTGTGTACTTAATAGTAAAAAAAGGAGTCTCATTTTATTTTCCTATTTCTTTGTGTGTACATTTTTCTCCTATTTATTCAATCATTTGTGTGTGTGTGTGTGTGTGTGTGTGTTTTTCCCTATGAACTGGGGAATCCCACTTGGGATGTCTTTCCATTGCACCCTTCCTTACCAAATTTATGAACTATGAAGATTTGTGGCTAAGATTTTTCTAGTTTTGCTGTTTGTGTTTGATTATCATTCCTGGTTATTATTATTATTTTTTTGTCACACTCTCTAATGCAGCTTACTCAATTTTTTAAATAAGTCTTAACTAAGTTCCTTTTCTTTGCTCTTATGTTAATACTTTAAGTTAAATATTATGCCGACCAGAAGAGCTAGTTAAGAACTAGCAAGGCGTTCCCACATATTTCCCCAAACTAGGGACCTCTACAGAGATTTTCCTCACTTCTCGCTTGGTAACTGCAATGCCTGCACTGTGGTTAGGTGCTGTGAAACAGGCATTCACAAATGGCTTCCACCTCTTGGAAAGGCAATTTCACAGACAACATAAAATTCCTCTCATAGTTGTCCCTTTGATTCAGGAATTTGACTTTTGTCAGTTTTCTGGTTTAACTACATTTATTTATGCATTTGCTTGGTTTCATGCTACCTCCAGACTTTCCCAGTTCAACAGACAAACCAGGCTGAACTGGAAGCCTTCTAACTACTCTACACAAAACTAACTTGAGTTTGCTTTTCAACTACTTTCAACTACTCATGTAATGCCTTTGCAAAAGGACACCATATTTAAAAACACACCTCAAAGACACACTGATACATCTGAATAACTTTCACTTGTATGGAATAAGAAATTTTTTTAAAATTATTTTTTATTTTTTAGTTGTAGTTGTCAATACCTTTATTTATTTTTTTATGTGGTGCTGAGGATCGAACCCAGGGCCTCGAATGTGCTAGGCAAGTGCTCTACCTCTGAGCCACAACCCCAGCCCGAAATTAACGTTTTTAAAACTTAAAAAGTATGTAGTTCTAATTTACATCTTTTAAAAAATGTGTTTGTTTAAAAAAAAATAGATTGCTTCTCTCAAGTTGATGTTTTGAAAAAGGACAAAAGACATCCTTCCTTCTTGAATCAGAAAGCTTCCTTACGGTCAGATCCTCCATGCCAGGGGTCAGGCCCCTGGCAGACAGTGGACACCAAGATCGGCTCCCCAGGGGGCCAGAAGAGAGGCCCCGACAACTGACAACTAACGTCCATGCAGGACTGGTCCACGCAAGAAGGTCCTAAGCAGGGCAGGTGTATGGAAGGAGTGTCCATGCAGGATAAGAGTCCAGGAAGGATGGAAGGATGTCCACGCGGGACAGGTACATGCGGAGACCTGTGCAGCAAGGAGTGCCCGCCCGGGCAAAGTCCTCGAAGGGCAGTCCACAAGGGACTATTCACAAAAAACGGGTCTGCGGAGAACCGATGCAGGCGAGGAGGGCCCGCCCAGGAAAGGCTAGGCAGGAAGGGGCAAGTGGAGCATGGCCACGCGGGTCGACGCAGGCAGGACAGGGGCACACAGGACAGGTGCAGGAGAGGAAGGCCCTTCAGGAAAGGTGCTCTCAAGACACATCCACTGGAGGCAGATGCGCTCAGGGTGGGTCGGAGCAGAACTCATGCCTTGTAAAGAGGCCCGCGCGGGGCGCGTGCGCTAGAGGAGGGAGCGCGCAGAGCGAGTCCACCAAGGGCACATCTCGCGGACGGGCGCTCTGGGGGCGGGCCCACGAGGGTCGTTTTCCGGCCTCGCCCCCACCCACACGTAGGCGTGGAGCCCCGGGAGGGAGCTGGTGGCCCAGGTCCTAGCAGCTTACAAAAAAGGCTTTTTTAAAAAATGGAATCTTCAAGTGATAATATGTTGTTTCCCTTTCGCCCACTATTCGTCTATGCAAAAGTGACAGTCCTATTAAGATTTCACATTCTGAGGACTTGGGACAGCCTGTGGGGAGACGGGCACCGCTGCCAGCATCCGGGCTCGGGCGCGCTTCTGCCAAGACCGGGGCTGCGGGCTTTCGCTTATCGGGATCTTCGTTCGTGTAGTTCAGGAACGCGCCGACGTCAGGATCCTTAGCATGGAATACACCGCTGCCGGGACCCTGCAGGAGGAGAACGCGGAGCCAGGGCGCCAGTGAGGGAGCGCACCGCTGCCAGGACCTTGACGGAGGAGCGCGCGGCTGCGGGGACCCCGCCCCGCACGCGCGTCCCCGGCGTTGGCGTCGTCAGCGTCGTCCAGGTCCCGGTCCTCGTCTGTGGCCTGCTGTCGCTTTCCCTCTCCGGCCGCTCCCCGGCCGTCCCGCGCCCTCGCCGCTAGCGCCCTCGCCGGCCCCGCCGCCCGCAGCCCTGGCGCTCCCCGCCGGCCC